TGGGGACAAGGCCTGGAGGGACAGGACCCAGGGAATGGCTCCCACTGGGAAAGGGGAGATTGGGCTGGGATCTTGGGAAGGAATTCCTGCCTGGGCTGCAATTCCCAGATTTGCTGGGGCTGCCCCTGGATCCCTGGGAATGTCCAAGTTGAGGTGTCCCTGCCATGGATGGGATGGGATAATGGGATGGGATAATGGGATGGGATAATGGGATGGGATAATGGGATAATGGGATTTAAAGTCCCTTCCCAGCCTGGAATTCCATGATCCTGATGGAAAAGCTGACAGACAGAGTTTGAATCCAGCTGCTGCTTCCAGCACAGAGAGCTGGGGGTTCCACTTGTGCTGCTCAGGAGGGGCAGGAGCAGGGCTGGCCTGCAGGAATTTGATTCCCAAAAGCTGGAAAAGCAGCAGGGAGCCTCTGTCCTCACCTGGGGCATAGTTGAGCACACGGAGCCCGGGCTCCTCCAGTGCCAGCACCCTGAACATCATATCCCGAGCTGCCTTCCCAGCACAGTACAGAGCCCAGCTCGGGAAGGGCTCCCTGGCACACAGGGAGGAGATGTTCACCACGGTCCTGCTGCAGCCAGGCCGTGCCCCAAAGGCCCTCAGGGCTGTGGAGGTGAGGCACAGAGCAGAGCTGATGTTGAAGGAGAAGTAGGTGTTGATGTCGTGCAGGTCGTTGAGGTCCAGGAAGGATTTGGAGATGTCTCCCAAAGAACCTGGGAATCACAAATGTGCAATGGTTTGGGTTGGGTTGGGATCTTAAAGGATGTCCAGTCCCCACCCTGCCGTGGAAGGGACACTTCCCATTGTCCCAGAGTGCTCCAAGCCCTGTCCAGGCTCTCCTTGGACACTTCCAGAAAGGTGGAAAAATTAAATTTTACAGATGGGATTAACCACACTACAGATCCCTTTGGCTCCCACATTCCACATCCAACATTTCCAGAGCTTTGTCAGGTCCCACAGCAGCCTGAGGAGCCCAGGCCAGCCCAGTTTGTGTCACACTGACCCAGGGGACAGCGACCTGCCACCACCCTGCCAACACAAACAGCTCCCAGCCTGCAGTACAATGTCCCCAAGGGCCACCACGGGCAGCTCCTGTGCCAGTGAAGCCCCAAATTTGGGAACACCCATTCCCTATAGGAACGATTTATGGCAATAATGAGTAAAAAGGGCACGGAAGGCACTAAAGGAAGGACCCACAAAGTGGGGCTGGGAGTTTGTCTGAAGGTTTGGATTTGGGGACGTCTGAAGGTTTGGATTTGGGGAGGTTTGGAAGTTTGGATTTGGGGATGTTTGAAGGTTTGGATTTGGGGAGCAGGGGGATAAGGAGGTGCAGGAGGGGAACCAACAATTCCTACACCACAGTAAAACCTTGAGAGCAGCAAAGCACTGCCAGGGACCCGCCCCCCAATTAATTCCTTTAATAATAAGAAACCAACACCCAGACAGGGTGAAATCCCTCCGACTCCTTTTGGGATATTTGCTGGCACCCCAAGCCCGAAACGAACCCCGGAGCGAGCGGGGCCGGCCCGGCAGCCCCGGGGGACAGAGGCCAGCGGCTCGGGGAGGGGACAGGCGGGGACAGGCGGGGACATCCGAGTGGTTACCGGCGTTGTTGACCAGGAGCAGGCGGTTAAAGGACGAATCCTGCAGCAATTCCCGCAGGGCAGCGCTCGCCCTGCGCAGCCCCTCCTCGCAGCCCAGGTCAGCGGGCACGCACTGCACCCGCAGCCCGGTGCCACTCCCGGTGCCACTCCCGGTGCCATCCCCGGTGTCATTCCCGGTGCCATTCCCGGTGGCCCCGGCGCGCAGCTCGGTCGCCAGCTCGCCCAGCGCATCCCCGGAGCGCGCCAGCAGCAGCAGCACCGAGCCGGGGCCGAGCTGCGGCGCCAGGAGCCGAGCCAGGCTGCGGCCGAAACCGCGGGACGCGCCGGTCACCACACAGGCGGTGGCGGCCCAGGGTCCCGATCCCGATCCCGGTCCCGGTCCCGGTCCCGATCCCGATCCCGATCCCGATCCCGATCCCGATCCCGATCCCGATCCCGGCTCCATCCCGGAACTCAGCGGAGGGGGCGTGGGAACGCGCCTGCCCACGTGACCCGCCTCATTCATGCCGCCTCCGCTTTGTGATTGGCCGCTCTGAGAGCGCGGGAAGCGCTGAAGTCTCTGATTGGTCAGCGCCGGGGGGCTCGGGGGAGGCGTGGTGGGAGAGGGGCGCCCCCTTGCGGGCGCTGTGAGGGAGCGCGGTCTCCATGAGGGAGCGGCGGGGACGGGACCGGGACCGGGAATGGAAACGGGAACGGGAATGGGACCGGGAATAGGAACGGGAATGGGAACGGGAATGGGAACGGGAATGGGAACGGGACCCGGAACAGCAACGGCACCGGGATGGGAACCAGCAACAAGAGCTCGAACGGGAGCAGGTCTGATAATGGGGCTGCGTCCCGGAGCTCCGGGCCTCCCCTGCCCACAGCGCGGCCGCCCTCGGCCTTTAACCCGTTATGGTTTTTTTCAATGCTCTTTTCAATATATTTTTCAAAAATCAAATTATTAATCCTTTTTTTTAAAATATGTATTTTTATTTTTTTCCTCCGCGGATGTAAATTCCTTTTTATTGTCCCCACGCCTGCAGGGCCACCCGCCCTCCCAAACCTTCCCTTTTCCCTCTGCAATCCCGATTTTTGGCGCTGGTATTTTACTAGGGAATAAAAGCCCTTTCTGATCACAAAAAGCCCTAAAATCCTTAAAAAAAAATAAATATCGCTATGAATGAAGGTGCAGACAACTTTCCAGGAGGGTTTTTCCAAGGAATACCTGGTTTGTATGGGATGAGCTGGCAGCAGGGTTTGCATTCCCAGCTGTTCAGTGCCGAGCCCAGATGGTTCCAGACAGGTAAAGCAATGGAATTTCACTCAATTAAGCAGCCAAAGACTGGGCTGGAATCCTCCAGCACTCTAATAAAGCATTAAAAATTCATGGCATGGCAAAAACCCAAGAGCTCTTATTTGTTTTGCTAAAGCAAATCTTACACATTCAGCGAAATTAAGATCATCAGCAAAAAAAAAAGAAAAAAAAGACAGCAAATGTGTATATTTTTCACAAGTAGCTTCTTGATGGCAGAATTTGCTTCAGTCACTGCCAGTTCCCCCCTTCCCAGTTTGGCAGCTCCAGTTTCCTGCATCCATCAGAATTCCTGCCCTGCTTCCCAGCCTGGCACCCACACAGGGCTGGGAATGGGCAGCGTTTGCTGGACTTCCCTTCCAGCAGCCCAGTTCTTCCATCAGGACATTCCTGATCCCTGCAAATGTTCAAAGAGATTTGGAATTCCCTCTGGAATTACTTTGGAATTACTCCTGCTAATGGCAGGAGTTTGGAATGGGATGGGCTTTAAAGTTGCTTCCAACCCAAATCGTTCTGTGGTTCCAAGCAGGAGGGAGGGGTTTTGGTTTTAGCTGCTAAAAGTTGCTCCTGCGAAATTAAATTTTTAAAAAAATTAAAAATCAGTGTGAGGACAGTGGTGAGCAAACGAGCCCGGAGCTGGAACTGGAGATCAGAGCAATGATTGTGGAATCCCAGAATTTGGGTTGGAAGGGAACTTAAAGATCATCCCAACCCAACCCCTGCCAGGGACAAGGACACTTCCCACTGTCCCAGGTGGCTCCAAGCCCTGTCCAGCCTGGCCTTGGACACTGCCAGGGATCCAGGGGCAGCCACAGCAAATCTGGGAATTCCATCCTCCCTGGGAAGGTCACTCTCTAAAATTCCCAAAGTTGCTCCACATCCCTCCTACCCAGCACTGGGGACACTCAAATCCCTTTGGGATTTGCTCTGCCTGCCCGGCCCCGGTGACAGGGACAGATCCCAGGGAATTCTCTGGTGCTGGGACAATGCAGGGCTGGCACCTCTTGGCCTTCCCAAGGGCGGATGGAGCTGGATCCGGAGCAGGGAAGAGCAGGAAATCCACCAAACTCCCATCAGTGCAGTTGGGAAAGCAGCACTTGGTGCCAGGGAATCCCAGAACCCTCAGGGCTGGAAAATCCCTCTGAGGTCATGGAGCCCAAGCATCCCCAGCACTGCCCAGGCCAACACGGACACTGTCCCCAAGTGTCACATCCACAGGGCTTGGAATCCGTGCAGGGATGGGGACTCCACCTGAGAAATTGGTCCAGGGCTGGGCTGTGTCAGTGACATCAAAAATCCACGGGGATCTGAGGGCAACCAGGAGGGAAAAAAACATCCCAGGACAGTGGGAATGTCGTGGAGCTG